ACCAGTAGGTGTACCTGGTATGTCTAACACATACAATTTAAAATAATACTTACAGTATGACAGCGGACAGCACATTTTGTGAAAATGGTCATGACTATCTATCTAGAGTACTGTAAATGCACTGCTCCTTCTGAAAGCTCTAAATATACAATGTAATCCATTTAATTGCATCCTCCAGTGCTTTATCTTTTTTAAGATAAGAATTTTTAAGGGGACCATTTTTAAGATCTCAGAATACCAGAGATTCATATTTGGTTTGTTGCCTTTCATCCCAGATCTATGGCTTTTTTAAGGTGTGTTTGGATCTTTCTTCTTTAAAAGAAGCTGTCTACAGTATGTTGCAATTTGTGGATATGATTAATTTGATGTACAGTATATTTCTAAACTGTTCATTAATTTTCTGGAGGAACAGTGCAGCACAATCCGTGTTATGCTATATAGACTATTAAGATTCCTCAGGAATTCTAAGAAAGTAATAATAGAAAGAGGGAAGAAAAAAAACATGAAAATAGAATTGCAAAGAAAGTCAGATATGCATGACTGACACTTCAAGGTTTTCAAAGTAGGATGAGAAGGGATCCCATGGAACACAAAATTTCTCAGTACATCCACAAACAATATATTTTTTCCAACTTTAAATGCTCTGTGAGGTCTCTAATCCAGCCAGAAAAAGAGGACACTCAAACTTCAGTTCCATCAAATCACCAAAGGCACACTGCCACTATGTAATTTTGACAGCTTCAGGTTTTCAAAGAGGTGCTTTATATAGAGCAGTCTGAAAGGAGGGTTATAAAGGTAGTTGCAGGAACTGAAGAAGTGTATGAAAAGGTTTATTTCCATATGAAAATCAGCTCTGGACATTACCAGAACAGAACAGGTGAACAAGATAAGATGGAACTTGATTACATCTGTTGCTGGTGGATGAAATGTTTAAATCTAATTTCCTTTTGTTATACCAGGATTTAGTAAAAAATAATTATTGACTTTCTTTTTTGGGAAGAGTGTGTAGGAGGGAGAGTGTTGAACACCTCTTGGTTTCCTAATATTAGAAGTGACTATCTCTGGTCTTTCATTTTAATACTTTATTTGCTATTTTGTGTGTTACCACATTGAAGGTTACCAGATAGGCACTCTGCAGTTCCTTTCTGGTGAAATTTTATTTTCGGGACTGCATACCCTGGACGGTTGTTTGGAAGAAGATACCTACAGTAGTTCCATACTCTATTTCAAGGTTGTCATTACACATTTTGTACAAGTTAGTGGGGTGGCTATATAGACTAAAAATAATGCAGGTTAATACTTTGTGAGAGACAAAGTTTGGATTTGCATCTTATTTCCAGTTCCCAGGATACTGCCAGAAAGCATGATTGTGATCTGCAATTCTGATTATAGGGTATGAACGTGAATTCTGGGCCAACAAAATACAGCTGTGTCTCAGGGAACACTTGGCACTGGAACCACAGAAACAGGAATCAGGATATGGAAGTATGGCTGCAATTTAAATTGTGGGAATCGCAATTTACTGGATGATTTACATATCTTTGACAAACTGCTATTTTGAAAATGGATTCCATAACAGAAAACTGGCTTGTTGTTGGTAATGATCTATAACATAACCTGATACATTACTCTAAGTCAGAAATGTAGTCAGAATTCACTTATTTTACTTGCAAAATATTAAGTCTCCATTATTAAAAGAAACATCAACAATTAAGTTTAGGAAGTGAAATAAAATCAACTGAAGTTGATAACATTATTAAGATGTATTGATTTTATTATCTTACATACAGTACCTTGCAAAAGTATTCAAATACATGGAAAGATTTCTCATTTTGTTGTTTTAAAGCTTGCAGTTGTGACACTTTGAAGTAGCAATTAAAATGTGTTATACTGTATACACAACATACTCCACACGTTCAAAGCAAAAAGAAAGAAGAATAACTCAATGGAAAGAAAAATGGAAAAGTCATGATTGCGTTAGTATTCAAACCCTTTGTTGTGGCAAACCTAAATTAAAATTGGTGCATAAAATTATCCTAACAAAACACACAATTAGATGAGTGGTCTCTGTGTGCAATAATAGTGCTTCACATGATTTCAGAATAAATGTTCCTGTCTCTATAAGGTCCCACAGTCAGCTAGTGAATTTCTACTGTAAGAGATGTTAGTGGGGGCACTCACCCTATGTGGTCCCTATGTGGGTCCTAATGCCCCAGTATAGTTATGGGGACACTATACTGTAAAAAGGCCCCATCCTTTAGATGAGATGCAAAACCAAGGTCCTGACTCTCTGTGGTCATTAAAAATTCCAGGGTATTTCTTGAAAAGAAATGGCGTCCTGGACAAAGTTCCCATTGGCCCTTACCAATCATAGCCTCTTAATAATCCACCTCTATGAATTGGCTTCATCACTGTTCTCCTCCCCACTGATGTGAGCCGATGTGTGGGGAGCGTACTGGTGCACTATGGCTGCCATCGCACATTGGTGGTGGTGGAGGGGAGTCCCCATTACCTGTACTTGCTTTGAGTGGAGTGTCGACAAAAGTGCTAAATAAGAGTAAGGAATTATTCATTATTATTATTACTGTTGGCGTCTTTGATGTTTCTGCTGGCATTATGATAAATTAAGGGAGAGGAAGAAAGAGCTTTGTGTTTTGTGTTGTGAGTTAGAAGGTTTTGCTGAATTAAGAAAAATCCCGCCAACTCTGAATCAGATAAAACGCACTTAACTGCTTCACCATTGTTCAGGATGTTGCTGTAGTGTGGACTGAAAACAGATAATGCATTACTTCTAACTTGCATATCTTTACGGTATCCTAAGAGGGCATACAATACGTTTTGTAATGTACTTTGTGGTCCTTTAGGTTGCTTTGAAACGCTATTGCAAAAAAAGAAAACCATAAGGTAATAATTTTACATATTATCCTATTTAAATGTATAACTTTAATCCACAACGTGTAAAATGTTGTTCTAAATCTGTATAAAAAATATTTTCAGCTTGGTTTTAAAATGATCAATTACTGAAATTTAATTTTTGCCATACAGTAAATAATTTGTACAGTATTTATTTTTCTACTGATTCAACATATGGTTGTCATATTGGTTTTTGTGTGCATTGTTGACAAGCATGCATTAACTATAGTAGTTAGTGTAGAAAAGTAAGTCCTGAGTGGGTCATCTGGTAAAATCCTCAGATTAGGCCTCACAAGCGAAAGCTCACTAGCTCACATAGTATTTGGTGAGTGCTGTGGCATGCTAAATGCTTTCACAGCCTGGCACCAGGACTGATTGTTTCCTTGGCTTTACTGGGTGTGTTTGCAATGTTAACAATGAGCTCTTTGTGTCTATGCCAAGGAAAGCAAAGCATGGCCACACAGAATGCATTTCAAATCGTAACCAGAATTTCTTTAAGTATCCTGTGCTAGTACATCAGTTAGAAGTGATGCAAATTGGTTAGCAATTCCAGATTGGATGAGTTAGTTAACTCAGTTAACTAGATGAAATAACTAGAAATTCAATTTATCAATGAATAAAATGCCCTTTCTTAATGGTCTTAGGCCAGGTAGACCAAAATTGAAGTATTAAATTCACTTTGAAATGTATTCAAATCATTCACATCATCACACAATTCCAGACTGCAGTACTGAAGATACAATTATGAAAAATACATACGCAAAACATTGTGGTTTCATGTTCAATTGATAATCTGAAACTTTGGTTTTACATTGTGATTGTGAAGTATTGATAATGTCTATAATAATTACTCCTACATTAATAAAGAACACTTAAACAGTTAAGATTTATTTCCAAAATGTACTACTTCATTTTCTCCACACAGATTTCCATCTGCAGGTGCTATTGCCTTGGTAGATTATGAGAACCCCAGTCTGCATTTTGAATCTCTATTCTTTCCTTCAAAAGTTCGTCTTTTTTGTTTGATTGTTTATTGAGTATCTTACACTAGAGGTGGAAATAAATTTTCTCCACATTCAAAAATTGAACTTTTTTGACAATTGAAGATTGACAGAATGCCCTTTCCCCCAAGACCATCAAGCATTCGCATTGTCTGTTAAAAAGCCTATTCTCCAGACCTGGAGATGAAAATTAAAAGAGAAATACTCCAGACTGAAATTTACAAACCATCTTAATGCATTTCTCAGTATCATCTTAATCCCTGATCCCATTTGGGAATCCCTCAATGTGTACTGAAAGTCTCAGCTGTGTGCCACACATATAAATCAAGGCTGTAAATTAAAAAAAAAAATCAAATTAAATTTAACCCTGCTGTGGCACAATCAAGAGAAATTTGAGATACGTGTACCACAAACCTTGAAAAAGCAGCAACATGTTTTTGTCTTGAGATTTATTTACAAAATACATCCACCCCTTTTAACCACACCAGGCCCAGGTTAACCATTTTTGGTCTTGTGCAGTTTAGCCTAGAAAACTTCAAACACTTTGATTTGTGTCTGGGCTCTATTGTGCTTACATAAATTCATTAAAGGGAGTTTTTCCAATGGATGGAAACTAAAAAACAAACAAAACTGGGTGTCATCCTGGAATGTTTTTCATGGTGGAGCTATTGTGAAAATCAAAGAGAAAAGTATAATTATGAAACCCCTTTGACAAAACCCAGGCTTACCTACAGTATAAACATTTCCATCTGCTGTGTGCAGTCTTGGGTTCTCCGATACTTGCCTAAACAGGGCAAGGGGCAAACAATGTTTTAAAAACATTAACGATCAAAATATTGCCTGCAATATTAATTACTCCCAATATTACTATCAATTTTACTGTTTTATTTTTTAACTGGAAAGATGGCAGGTTTGCAAATATTTCCATTCAACATTTAGTCAGTTTATTACTAATGGTTATGATAGTGTCATAAAAACATAATAGATACTGTATGTTAACACAGTGAAAATGCCCTTTTTTTGCTGGTCATTTCATTTAATCTCAAAAGAGATTTGCTTTTTCTCCTTCCACTCTGCCCCCTGCAGTTTTGGTGCTGCTCATCCTGACGTTGAAGCGCCATCGCAAGGGCCAGCGAATGTCAGAGGATGAGGAGGACATGCGGGACAATGTCATCAAGTACAACGATGAAGGTGGAGGAGAGCAGGACACGCAGGCCTATGACATGAGTGCCCTCCGCAGCCTCTATGACTTCCCAGAGGTGAAAGGGGCAGACTCGGGGCCTGACCTCCGCTCGCTACCCCAGTGGATCCAGAGCCACAACAGTGAGGGTGAGGGCCCAGCAGACTTCTCCGTGTTCCGGGGGTACATCCGCAAGAAGGTGGAGCAGGCCGATGCTGACCTCTCGGTGCCGCCCTACGACTCCTTCCAGACCTACGCCTTTGAGGGCTCCAGCTCTCCAGCGCTGTCCCTCAGCTCCATCCATACCCTCTCCACCACTTCAGAGCAGGACTTCTCATACCTTGCCAACTGGGGGCCCCGTTTTCGGCAGCTGGCCAGTCTTTATGCGGCAGGACACCCTGAGGAAGAAGGCTCCTAGCACCCTTGGTTGCCAGTTCTGCCCCCCCAACCTCCCCTTCACCCCAAAACCTGCCAACAGCCCCACACCATTCTCAATCCCTAACCCCCTTGGAAGAAATCTGCAAATACGTCTGCGTTTTTTCAAATCCACGTGGTTCTGGAGCAATCCAAGAAGTGTGACATCCACAGGCAGGCTTTGTAAGTGGTGGGGAATAGGCAGCTTAATACCCTGAGGGAGAACACAGAAATGGACTCACACCCTCATAACTGAAATGAAAAACGTAGTTGAAAAGAATTACAAGGAAAGTTGACATGTCAGAAAGCGGCAAAGGGGGATTTCACTGATTTTGGAAACCCTGAAGATTGCCAAACAATGAAATGTGCTGCGCCTTTTGTATCTTTTTTTGTGTTGTTTTTTTATTTTTGTAAACACAAGTAATGTGTACTTTTTGTATTAGAATAGTTTGGTTTTGTCTGAGTGCTATGTCTCTAGGAGCTTATGGAAGCTTATAACTTAATAGAATGAAATCCAAAGAGAATATAACTCTGCAATTCCAAACTTGTTATTTATTTATCTATTTATTTACTTATTTTCTTACTTATTTATTTGAGGTGTTGGTGCCAGTATACTGCTTTGGACAGCAAGTACCTAAACTTGGGGAAAAGGAGGCAAATTATTTTCCGAGGGAGACACCAAGCGCAAATCCAGTACATCAGCTCTGCTTTTTTAAATTTAAAATCAGCTTATTCAGAACTATACTCAAAAAAAGAGTTTTGGTCTACCACCTGAGAATGGTGTTAGACTTAAAGAGACTTCAAAAAGTCCATATATATATGTGTTTTTTTTTCTATGAACACTTTTGTAATTTGAAAAATAAAAGACTACAGCTTTTGATGGTGGATGGGGAAAACAATATATATATATACTGTATAAACCAATTTCCAGAGAGACTAACTGAGGAATCTGCGGTTTCATCAAAGTGCTGACAACCATGCATCTCTTCTATTATAATGCTTTCTGAGTCAGAACAAATAGAAAAGTGAAATGTGTGGACATTCTCTTTTTGTTTGTTTCTTTGTCCTTTTTCTTTTCTTTAGCAGGTTTAAGGAGTATTTGTTAAATAGCAGCAATAATGAGAAAACATACTTTAAAGAAAAAGAAATCTATGAGTAATGTAAGATTTTGATATTATTGTTTCTTGAGGTCCTACACATCTGTTCCTGAGTGAGTTTAGTTCCTACCACACCTGTGAGTGTGACCGTGTCTAAGCTTTGTTTTCTGCCTTGAATTATTGGTTTGTTATTTATTATTTTTGTTTTAATTAGGGGCCTATAGTTTCTGAAAATTTGTATCACCCATCCCCAGTGCTGGTAAAAATTTCAATGTCAACCTTTACTTGCAGATGTATGGGTAATAAAACTAAAATCAATAAATATTTTAAGGAAATTATTTTCTCAAAACTTCACCTGTCATTGTATGTTGGGAATGAAGAGCTACCAAACTAGAAAACTTCAACAGAGCCATGCTTAAGTATTAGGATTTTGTTTTCTTACATTCCTATTTTTGTGATGCACACTGCCTCAAAGTCCTGTGTAGAAAGCCATAAGGTAACAGCAGTTGATCTAAACTATTGTATTACAAAATGCCCTATACCAAGAAGAAGAAAATGAAGATGACATTCAAAGTTTAAGAATAAATATGATTTATTTTGTACTGTATTGCAATTTGATCTATTTTGGGTTTTAATGGAAACATTTTACTGGGCATTTAATTACATAATTCATTTATGGATAAATTACAATTTTCCAGAATAAATATCATAACAGTGCATTGCAGAGTTAACAGGAGCAAGTGTCAGAAAAGATTTGATCATAAACTGAAGACACTCTCAGATATGAAGTCACATACTGTAGTTCCATCTTACTCTGCAAATCATTCCAGTGGGAAATTGGAATGATTTGGTCCTAGGGGTTTCAGTTTGATAAAGTATGGCATCTTAAACTGCAGGATTGCTCCTACAGCTATTACAATGGGAAAGTGTTTTTCAAATTTTAATTCTGTAACTTATCTCATGCTATTGTAGCATTTATCTACTGTGCAGATAGGGTCAATCGCACAAAGAATAAAAATCACAATGATCAATGTGAAGGAGGGCCAGTTGTTCTGTAAACCTTATGGCAGGAAAGTACTAGACATAAAGTCTCCCCAAAATAGTTTTGGAGCCTGTACTTTAAGCAACATCTTCATAATCCAAGAAGCACGGTATTACCATTTAAACTAGTACTGTACCTTAATGAACTTTAAAATCAGATTATATTTTAGATTGGAAAGTATTCATATGCACTGTATGTAGAGAGTTATGAAAGTCAAGGCACCATCCAGTCAGATGCCTAGATATTTCAACAACATGTAACACCCATTTTTATCCTTTGTTATTGTTCAGGTGAAATTATTTTGTTATTATAATTTAATTTTAGCAGAAGATTAAGATCACAGAAAATAAAAAAAATATTGAAATATCTCTGCAGAATTGGTCATTGTTGATGATGCAGTGGATCCAGTGGCTATTAGATGGTTTTGTCATATACTGTATGAGAGCTGCATATTGCCTGAACAACATTGTTAATACAGCTGGATAACAGGATTGGGCCCAAACTACTGTAAATCATTGTAGGACTCCCATAGGTTAAACAGACTGTCCCACAGGAACAGGTTATGAAACAAACTGGGGAATATTTTGCACACTGAGAATATATTTTGTTCATATCAAAACCAATAAATTGCAGTGTTTTAATAAAATACATGAGCTATGATATAAAAATACTTAGATAAATCTATAAAGAACACATGTGCGGCGCTATTTTTTGCAAGACATTATAATATTACTGAAAACATAGCCATGTCCAGAACAAAAATCAGCCTTCACATCAGAGAAAAACGTAAAAGCTCTCTAAAAATTCATTGACTACATTTTTTTTCTATGATCTTTGAAAGTCCTGGCAAATACTGTTCATGCAGGTCTATAACAGTAAAGATCTGACTTATCACCCCCTTTGAGAAGAGGCAAATGAGGGCAAACATCCAAGCAGCTGGGATTTGAGCTCTTTTAAAAGAGAGATCGAATAAGTAGGTCAACGAAGTGGATATTATATGAGCATAACATTTTATAAAAAATCATTCAACACCATCGTGACCAAAGACTTATTACTTTGAATTTTGTAAATCTCACCCAGTACCTCCATAACACGCAGTATCATAAAACTGAATGCATTCTGGAACGTCAATTAATCTGACTGAACTGAATCAGGATGATTGTTAAATATGAACCTATCAAACACACAAGCATCATTAATGTTCATTATGTTCAATGAATGAATTAACTATTTATTTTCTAATTCCTCACACTCTAATTCCTCTAATTCAGTCACACAGGTAAGAGACACTGATAAATGACAGTGTAATAATTTCTTAGCAGAGGGTGGTTTATAGAATCCTGCAACTGTCAATCACTTTTTCAAGATCTGGATTTGAGACTTGTTTCAATTAAATTCCATTTGCATAAACATACAGTACACATTTACACAGACCATGCTTTCCAAGAGTATTGTGACGGTGAAGTCTAACCTGGGATTCTCACTAAGAAGTACAATGAAAAATAATCATTGCTTATGAATATAAAACATGACTCACAAATACAACTACTAAGTTAAGTCAACTTAGTTATACTCTCTTAAACAAACGACCAATTACACATACTGATACTCTTAAACTTACAGTATTTATTTTGAGGGAGAAATATTGGGATAATTGGCTGACAGGTGTCTCTTGTTGTTCAGGTATATTTTTGTTGTGTAATTAGACTCATAAAAGATCTGTCAACCTGTCACTCTGACTTAAGTATCTAGTCAAAACTGAAAATGAACCACAGACCATTCTGTTAAGGTAAGTTAATACAGCTACATTAATACCAATCATATCAACTCTGCAAGTCTGAAGAGAATCAACCTATCAATGTTTGCAAATACAAAAGAACAGTTTGTTTCATTTATACAGTAAGTTCTGCAGTAACTTGAAACATTAAACAACAGAATGGAACAAACCATTCTCATAGATTGCAGGGCCTCAAATACACTCATAAATGCATTGCTTTAAATGATGTAAGGATGCAACACACGGAACAGGACAGAACAGAAAAATTAAAGGAAAATTGAGATAAAACAACTATACTGTATTTCTTGGTTTTCTGTAATGAGTATCATACGAAGAACTTCACTGTTCTATAATATACAAAACAGTTCTTTCTATGTCATGATGTACAACAGTAACCTTTAAGAGAAGCTCAATGCCCTAGTCTCTTGGTTGATACACACCATCATTCTAAATACTGTTCTCATTCAGATGACGACAAGTTTCAAAGGTAGCAGATCATACCCAGTTCAGTTATGGACACACTGTCAAACAGGACAAGTGCTAAAAAGGGGAGAGGGTATACTTTGCCATAACATCTATTATCATGTAAATGGTAGAATCTCACAGTAGTTATTATTTTTTCACAGAAGCTGATGAAAATAATAATTTTAAGCTCCATCCGTCTAGCAGGGGTGAAATCTCAAAACCAATGATGACATCTCATGTCAGAAAATAATATTCCTGCCCCACACACACAACTCCCACTGACTCTTCATCTTGAAGCTCAGATGAAGTCAAATTACTCTTTGGGTTTTGCAGGGAATAAAAGAATTTAAGCATAAGATTAAATGACTTGAAGGTAGTAAATGTACTTTGTTTTTTAGCTGAAACCATAAATTGTATTAACATGTATCAGATTTTCATCTGTTTATTCACATAGGTTGGAATAGCATCGTTAACATCTTGAATACAATACATAAAAGATAAATTATCACTTTCAGTAGTCTGCTGGCTTTCCTAAAAATTAAGATTCTTCTTCCAGCAAATGAAAATTCCCACAAAAGAAAACAGCCTTTTCTTGTGTCAGTAGGTGCATTGCTCCTGTCCTTTATTAATCATTGCAATTCGCACAGTTGTCTTAAATCCACACTCTTTCTAATGGTACATGAACTGCATTAACTGATCTACTTTATTTAAACACAAGAATTATCGTGTTCTTCTCATTTGAAGCATCATCCCAGGCACACAGCAATAATAGCTTACTTTAACTTTGTGCAAAAAGTTACTGTATCTCTTGAGAATTCATTCAGTGCTGATTGCGATGATAATGAAATGCTACAACTTCATCAGTCACAGTACATACTGTACATGTAGTGACATTCGACTTGCACTCAGAAGTGAAATACAGTAATACAGAATACATTCCTGGGTGTCAGGCTGTATTGCTTAAGTTTAACTGTATTAAACTTAAATCCTATAATTACATGGAATCTTTTCAAATCATACCTTAGTTTCAAATATTAATGTTTTTTTACAAAAACTCCTAGGGAGTGAGGACTGCTGAGAAAATGTGCAACTGCATAGTCAAAGAAAAAAAAAGGTTCCCTTTTGTTCTGATCACATCAATGTCTGGAAAGATATTGGCCAGGATCAGTCTTCAAACCCCCCCCAAACTGTCAAAACAGGAATTTGTTGATGTCTTATTTTGTCTTAAGCTATTTCCAAAATGGAGGAAAAAAAACAATGGTTTACATTTAGCTGCTTTTGTCTGTCATAAAATGCCATATTGAACTTGCACAGAAAGAATTGAAGATGACTGTCTTTCATCCTCTTCTTACAAATCTGCGAACTCAATCAATGCTAGCCCCAATGAAACAGAGTTTTTTTCATTTATTGGTAACATTCATTTTACTTGTTAGATACAGGCCACTGCTGCATCAGTGAATTAAAACCAGTGCAAGTTAATCTTGTCATAGTTAATATCCACAAGGAAGCCTAACATTGATTGCCCATGTTAGTGATGGATGCTATTAGAAAAAGGCAGTTAGGCTAGAACAGGTGTCAGAGGACTTGATTTATCACCAGCTGAACACAAGGTGCTACATGCATTCTAACACAGAGCTTTGGAAGTGATCACATTGACTCTCTCTGTCACCTTCTCTAGGGCAGATGGAACACCTGGCCCAGGGCCCTAAGCCTTATTACCCAAGCAAGAGCAAACAAATCCTAATGTGACTCCAAAACCTAACATGAAAACCACCTGGGTCATACCTTTTCCAGCACATTCCCGGTGCACGTACTGTATGACAGTATAACTAAGCTCTGCTTGTGCCAGGCTTCAAAGAAGGCTATTTGCAAGGTTGAATGCTTGCTCAGGTGCTTAAATACATCACTCAGCTGCACATTCCACTATACCAAAACACCAGGTTCCCTGTCAGGGTTCTAGGAGATTACTTCTTCACAAAAGCTCAAATACATAATGTTATGTATTATATATGTTATTGTATGTACAGTACCTAACTCCTACATGGGTGCAGGTG